CACTAAGCGTCAATTAAATGCATCAAATCAAGTTAATTAGTTTCCATTTGTATTTGGATTATAATAGCTTTAAAATAGCCTTCTTTCATCCAGTTTGATCAATTTAACATGATGGAGACTTGTGTCTTTTATACTCCAGATCAAGATGATTCTGATTTGAGCAGCCACATGTTAGATTCCTCTCTTAGTATTAGCAATGGCATATGGCTCCTAACTATAGCAAAAGCTGTCATAATTATGTGAAATTAAAGTTAATGAGTAAATTACCTTAATAAACGTATACTCTGTCAAAATGAAAAAAATAGGCTAGTTGTTTCCCCCTGCTTTGAGTGTTAAGCTTATTTTCCATTGCATTATTCTTTGCAGGGCCTCTTATCAAAAATTCACATCTTAACCTAAGCACAAAGGTAAAAGGTGGAATAGTGTGTGGATTAGGTAGAGGTCTGATTTGTCTGTAATAGTACACTAAAGGTCGCACAGATATGTTTGCAGAATGATGACTCACAGACTGGTTTCTTATCACTGCTGGTACTCTATTCTCTTGGCTTGTCCGACATCTCATTCGTCCAGCAAATTAGATGTAAAAAAGAGAAATTACTGTGCCTCCAGGGATTTTGGTCCCTCTCTGCAATGCATTCTGCAACAGTATGAAGAAATTATTCGTATAAAGGGCAGAAGACAATAAGATGGTGAATTGCATCACCTCTCATGCAGGTAAGGTGAGGTGGCCACCCTTTTTAGCTTCCTAAAATCATGCCTTGCTGCTGAAAGACAGCTGATGCACTGTGCGCTAAATTTCATAATTCAGTCAGGGGAAGTAAGTGTAGTTTGTTTCTCGCTGACATATTTTTTTACTGGTGTCACTGACCACTAAACTTCCACAATTCCAGGCAACCAAATACAACAGAGTTTGGTCTCAGTATCCCAACTAATACATACAATGAGTTCCCTTTTTGTTGTTATAATTTCATTCTTTACATAATATATTACTTTCATATTTGACATTATATCATTTGATTGGTAGTTCAGGAAGCATTTGCATCACTGTAGCTGGTGTTTTGGGTATTTAAAATAAAGACTGTGATCAAACATATATAGCTCATATTAATGCTGCAGTTATGCTCATATTAATGTGGAGTTAACACCACCATTTTAATTATCAAAAGGACGACACCACTAACAAGACTGAAATCAACTTTGATACACCATACTGCAATGAGAGTTTATTTTGGGCTATAAGGGCCTGTGTGCTGTTAAAAGCACTGGAGATGTAGAAGAACATGGCTGTCTCTATGTGTCCAGGCTAATCTTCACAAAACAAAGCCCCCAAGGAGCAATATGAGCGATGTCCATGCCTATATGGGCATGATATGCAAATTAAAGAGTCCTTGGAAGCTCTCAGCGTGAGTCTGAAGTGCTGCAGGACTGGCCTCTCAAGAGAGGTTAGTACCCTGGCTCATTGTCCCTGAAGGCGCTGGGCCATCCCTTTTTCCACAAAGAGACGATGCAGAAAGTTTTTCTGTGGTGGAGACCACTTTTAGTAAAGCTGTACAGAATCTGGAGAGAAGAGTGACTCAGATTAGTTTAGGTTGAGGGCCCTTCTTGGCTTTTGGTTTCCTGACTTACTGACCACTTTTACTTAACAAACCATGTGTGACACAATGCAGTGGATTTGTGACCATTCATACCACAATGCTGTCAGAAGCTTTTATCATTAACACCAACCCCATCTCTTAGAAACATTACATTACTAATACCTAATACATTATGAGGTTAACATAATTGCTGCCTGCATTATGTCCTGTGGCAACAACATATATCAACTTTGATACCAAAGACCAGAACCTGCATATATGTGGTTAGGTTTAAGTAACAAAACCTGTTTTGTTAAGGTAAAGGAAAGATCTCGCTTTCAGCTTAATGTATATAGTCCTCTGCTTAAAGTCACTTTTGACCTTTTCAATATGTAACCTTTAATCTTTCACTAACCTTAAGTAAGAGATGTGAATGCCTAAACAGACCTATTAAAACCTTTAATCATGCTGCCACTCACATTAAAAATGTTTCATTGTTATGTTAATAAAAAAAAACTCAGGTGGTTCAGGTCAACGTTTCTCTCCAAACATATTTTCTGGTTCACATTAGCAGCTGAAAAACATACTTTCTAGGAGACACAGAAACACAACAACCAGAACTGCAACTGTGGCTCCATAAAATTACCCTTAAACCATACCAGACCATGCCTAAAGCACTAAAGTCACATTTCCGTTTCTTCTCTTTACTTGTTCACCTTAGCATATAATGCAACTCCAAGAATATGTCCGTGTAATTGAGAAAATAGAATTTATGGCTGAGAAAGCTGCAGGTCACCACAAAATATCCTGCAGTGTTATATTTCTCATCCAAAAATGATAATTCAAAACTATGTGAGGCATAGTGTTTGAAGAAATCCTTTATCCACTATTGTGTTCATACTCAGTGTAGAGCTGTCTGCCCCTTTACTTGTATGGAACCTCCACAGTGTCTGTGTGGTCCCAAGGACAGATTTGAAGGTAGCATGTGGAAGAGGTGGTCATGGGCAGGCAGACCTAAATGTGGCCAAGATGGTCTAACTGTGGAAAGCTGTGAAGAGGTCTTTGTGGGTAAATCTGTTGAAAAACAGCTTCAAGTGATTTGCTCTGTTTCCCTCCACAAGCAGTGCACACATATAGTATATATGCAATCTTCATCCCACATATGCCACCTTTAAACTGTTCTGGTACAAGTATTGTTCATTCCTTTAGATGGAAAACATGGCATCAGCATCAAAGACTGTTAATGTACATTACAACATTAAAAGATAGACAGAAATAATCCCCAAACATTATAGTCACATAACTATCAGTCCAGATAACCAAACCAAATGTCCAAATAAAAACAGGAAAAAAAAAAAAAGTACTGAAACAGGAGCAGCAAGTAATTAAAAAACAAAAATTGGAACTTGCTGAGAGGGATGCGAGGCCAGATGTTCATCTTGCCCTTAAACTCATTTCAGGATGGAGACATAATTAAAAAAACATATTTTCCTCGCTTCCATTCACATATGAAATTAACATTTGACACACCTTGACAATAATAATAATAATAATAATAATAATAATAATAAACTTATGAAGTGAGCAAATTAAGACAATTTAAAATAATACAAACATAAAATAGAATAAAATACCCAACAATAATCTAAGATAAAAACAATAATAATAATGAAACAGATAATACATATTGGAAACAAAACAGTGTGCTATCATTAATAAAAAGCTTTTTTTAAATTTAAAATTTTGAGGACACCTTGGGAGTATCAACAGTATAACAGCATTCATCCTGGCTTACATCACTTTTTATGAGATGCTGTCAGAGTCAACATGAATTTGTACAACTAAAGGAAATGCAACAGAGGCTCAGGCTGTTGTTGACAGTGCTGCCACCTGGCTATGAGCTAGCCTGACCAGCAGTGGCAGCATCGCTAGTTGGCACGATAAAGACAGAGTGGATGGGAGCTGACAAGTAGAGCCGGCTGGACGTTTTTGTGCTCTAGTTGCCCACCAGTGCCAATCAGAACTGAGTCATGCTGCAGCAACTTTCTATGTGGAGTGTCAGTTTTTGTCAGATTCTGTTGCTCCATGAGCAGAGGAATTGCAGATGTGAAAATAAGGGACTCAGCTTTTGTCAAAAGATGCATGTTGTGTTAAAAAGGCTACTCCTAGCAGTGCAAAGGCTAATAAGGCCTTTTAATTCTATCCACCAAAACTACAATTTCAGGGCAGATGCTTTAAGCTGCACCAATCAATACTGTATTTATAAAAATGGGCAAAATTCCCATGTGCAAAGTGAAAGGAGGAGCTGCAGTGAAGAACCCACAGAAAATTATAACTCTGCAGCTCCCCTCAGGTTACTGAGCTTTTTAGCATCTTTCAGCTCATTGTTTTGGTTTTACAGAACTCTACTGTTATGGTTCACTGTCACCACTATCATCAGGGTTGTTTTCAATAAAAGTGTTATTGTCTGTGACGGTAGAATGTGTATTAGTAAAAGTCACAGCACAAATGCTTTAGGAGTTGCAAACCTGTTGAATAGTTTTTCTTTCCCACAAACACACCTTCTCTAATTCTTCATTGCAGGTTCTCAAATCCTATGCTATGAATCACAAATTAGGAAATTAATTTTTGCTGCCGTGAATATGGTGCGAAACACATTCACACACCTATATCAAAAAAATGTGAAGTCATGCAGTGAAAGTTGCAAGAATTATTGCTTGAATTTGCAATGTTTATCATACACATGAGAGGAGACTTATCATGAAGGATATGGGCTTTTCTTAAGACTGTGTGAACACACTCATAATCATTTCATGAAGGTAACGTTAGTTAGAGTCAAATGAAACATGAAACTCTTTATTAAATCTCTTTCAAGTTTTTCACCACCAATCCCAGTAGCGACTGGTGATATATTTTTATCTTTGAACACCGATGAGACTCCTTATTAACAAGGAAGGAATAATCATATGGTTATTGCCAGCACAACTGAGAGCTTGATTCATAATAAAATGGGCAATTCTACCTAAATCCCCCCTCAGGGTAACTGGTAAACTAAGGAGGGATTTGATGTGAGGGGTAGGAGAGCTGTGATGGTGTGTTATCAGTTGAGTAATTTGCTCTTGTATAAACATGAATTAATGTTATCTAAGTGCCCCCTGACAGCCGATTGGCTCCTCATTAGGCCTGTGTGAAATGAGATTAGCAACGAGCCTCTAAATTATGATCCAATCCCAGAACACATAATCTCTCACACATATATCCCCCTCTCTGTCTTCTTCCACCATCTATTTCTGTCTTCTCTCTTTTTACCTTGTTGCCTCCTCTGCTTGCTTCTTCCCCTGTGGCTGCTCTTTCCTCGTTCTTCACGTCTCTCCCCACTTGACCTCTTGCTCTTTCTCTTTTTTGCTTTCTTTCCCTCTCTCGCAGAGTGTAACTGCAGTGGGAGGTCAGATGATTGTGTGTTTGACATGGAGCAGTACCGGAGCACCGGCAGTGGGGGGCGCTGTGTGAGCTGCAGAGACAACACCGATGGGCCCCATTGTGAGCGCTGCAGAGAGAACCACTACAGGAAATCAGCTGAAGAGCCCTGCCTACCCTGCAACTGCAATATTAATGGTAAACTGCAGCTACAAAACCCTTTATTGTTTTGATAATAACTTGAAAACCCTAATTATAATCCATGCTAATATCATTACTCACTACTTCTGTGTTCTCTGGCATGAGGAAATTTAATTATGGTTAAATTGGATCGCTGTATTGGCACAATAAGGCACCACAAGCAAGATTTAGCTACAGACAAAAGGGACTCATAGGATTAATTGTTGCGAATGTTGTGGCCAAATGTTTCTAAATCATTAATAACACTACATTAATATTTACTCTTACCCGTCGACTATTCTACTGCTAAACCTCGCCTAGGAGTTGAATCTTTTCTGATTTATAATTTATACAATCTTGTTCGTCTCATGTCTTGCACATCTCATCAGATTTATCCTCGCCTCAGCTTCCCAAATGACCATTAAAGAAATCCATGACTTTACTCAGCTGTTGTAAATTGATCCAGTTGACTCACTGAACGTTATCAATGAAGAGATTCAGTGGTCATTAAACACAGTCTAGTTTTAGGGAGAGAGACATTAAATGTTTTGGCTCTTAATTACACGTTCATCGGGCTGGAGAGAGAACCAGAGGGAGAAATGAACAAATACATTTGATATCTTTTTCTCTGCGTTTCCTGAATAGTGTAAGGTGATTGCACAGAGCTGTTGAAGTCCATTATATTGATTAAAGGTTATAGCAGACTCCATCAGGCTTCCTTTTCTCTCATGTCCATAATGCCCCAGCTGGTATTTTTTCTCCATTAACTAAAGCTACTGTCAGCCACAGTGTGGTTGCAAGGTTATATCCTGCTCTTTCAAACTCATCTCTGGGGTTTTTGAACAGGAATTCAATAACAGTTATTCAGTTATCCCCATCCTGACAAATCATTAATGATATATTGATCCGTTGCATGTTATTTATTTATTTATTTATTTGTATTTATTTATTGGTTTATTTTAATAGGGACAGTGTACATTAATTAAACATTCCTGTAAATGCACCAGAGTTAGCCAGAAGGCTATTTTCCATCTGTTGTCCCTGGACAGATGTTCTAAGTCAACCTAAAAGTAAACTACAATACAATGTACAATGTTAAAATGTTAAAATAGAAAACAGAATTACGACAATGAAGACAAAGGGTTAATATACAATAGTTATACATTACACAAGTGATTAGTTAAGACAAAGACTTACAACACACACACTCTCTCTCACACACACACACAGCAAGATGGCAAAATGGAAGTAGGTGGCAGCAAGGGAAGTCACGCACTAATTGTGAAATAATCACTGAGCCTAAATGTTTTACCAATAACCTTTGGATTCTGAAGTTGTTGTTTTTTTTCCCATTTACTTGAAAATACTCCTACCTGTTTCCCTTTTGTCCTCTTTCTTTCTGTGTATGCTTTACATTCTCTTTTCTGTTTTCTTCTTGTGCGATCCATCTGCCGTCCCTCCCAGGTTCAGTGAGTCTGCAGTGTGATGTAGAAGGAAGGTGTGCGTGTCGAGCTGGCGTGACAGGGGAGAAGTGTGACACATGTCAGGCTGGCTTTCACTCGCTTGGCCCTGGCGGCTGCAGGTGAGCAATGCGCATAGTCATAAACACAGATTCACAGACATATTTAGACACAAACAAAGCAAATATTGAAAGGGTATGTTATATTCACCTATTATTATTATGTTCAAGTTGCTGGGTAACTGAATATAAAGTCAGTGTGAAGGAGTTAAGCCTGGATGGGGGTTGAAACCTCTTATTAACACACCTCTGTGTATGTGTGTTAATTATATATCCGAGCAAAGGAAAAACAACAGTTAAATGTGTGGGGGGTTAAGGAGTAGGGTCATGTGACAAATGTACGAAATGTGAGGTGTGAAGGATAAGAGAAGAACAGTGTGTCTTAAGACAAGAAACTGTCCACAAAAAGAAAACATATTGAGTGAAATCATGTGTGTTGTCTCAAAGTGCTGTACGACGTTAGAGGAGACCGCCTCTCCTCACTCATATTGGTGTGAGGTTGATGATGGCTTTTGCTTGCAAGTAAAAGATCTACTCAGAATTAGATTATTGTGTTATCTGGTATTTGAGTACCAACACTCATCTGCACCAAACAATGGATTTTTCCGGTAACAGGTAACCAAAGAAGTGCTAAAAACCTGAGAATTTAAAAGAGAGAAGTGGTTAAAATAAATAAACAGGTGACACAGTTACAGACTTAATAAATCTTAAATTTTGCAGCAGCATCTAACTTCCCCAAGCCTGAATTTATCAAACTACAAAGCAGCCGTAAACAAGAGGAGTCTCATTTCTCTATGTGACACCACTGTGAATTAGTGACCTTCTTATCAGCGAGTACCACATTGTACCAAATACAGTATCAAACTGCAAACAACCGTTACAACAAGCAAGCCTTACCAGAGTGGTGTAATTTTCCACAGGGAAACATGAACCGGGGAAAGAAAATCAACATTCAATTTAATCAAGATTTCAAGAAGATAAATTCCTGTCCTCTGCTTCTTCTTTGTCATGAGCAAAATTCATATTATATTTGTTGAAATAGTTTTCAATTATGCAAAACAATCTACATTGCTTACATTTCATCTAGTGTAGTTTATTATAACCAAATCTTATACTTTAACTACAAAGTTAAAGCTGCTGCTATTTTGATATTAGCAATGTATCAAGACTATGTGTGATGTGAAAAGGGTTGCTGGAAGTGAAGAAAGCGGAGAGAATTTAACCTGACTCTGTAGTTCCCCTCAGCTCTACAGAATCTTTTTGAGTGTCTTTCAGCTTATTGTTTTGGTTGTTATAGCCCCCAGCTTTACTGTTTTACTTCATTCTCATTAATTTCATAAGCATTGTTTTCAGACACTCTGTTTTCGGCAAAAAAGTACTTAAGCCGCCAAAGATGTTCAGATGTTTCCATCAAGAGACAAAACAGAGCTAATACTGGACATTCATCAAGTCGCCTCCACATGAATGCTATTGTTGCATGTTTAGTGGATGTGTAACTAAGCAACTGTTTTTCCTAAGAGTTTGCCATATTAATTTTATAAGGATAAAATACGTCAGTGTGGCATTTGCAGCTTGTTTGCTCTGCCCCTAGGTGGCCAAAATGTCAGCTATTGCAGCTTTAAGAAACAAATTATGAATAACTAGAGGACAATGCAATGTTTTTCCATCTTGCTGTTTGTGCTGAAGTAACCAAAACCTTTGCAAACTATTGCCATGAATCCCTCCTGCTGCACATGGTCAATGTTTTGGTTGGTCAGCCAGCTGTCCCGACCAGGAGAAAGAGGCCTGGTGTTTGAAGATCCCCCAGAACCAAGCCAGAGACCATGCGGTTACCATGGTGATATGATCCAGCCTTGCTGCCTTCAGAACCTTCAGAGAACAGCTTTAGCAGCCAACACCAAAGAGAAACTTCTCTGTTTTCTTCCAAAGAAAGTTTAATGCATAATGCTTTATATTTACTTAGGCAAGGTCAGTGTAGTCTAGTTTGGTGTAGCATTATCCCATCTTAGTCTGGTTTCATTGAGTCAAACATCCATAATCTTTTTTTACTGTCACAACTATTTATTAGTAGCTTATTTATAGTTCATTTATAATTCAATTTACAGTATTACAATACAAGCAGTGTTTCACTTCATTAATGACACAAAATGATTTAGTGTTCAATTAATAACAATAACCTCTTTAAATAAATAAAGGAAGCCATTTATATATTTAAAGAGATATTGATCGGTATTGTGTTGCAGAGACAAACTAATAACTGAAAAAAGATCTGACAATTGTCAGATTAATGGCTGATTACACCTGTTCTCTATTAATTGAGGTGGTGCCCTGAATAAAAACAAAATGAATACATCTATTGAAATACTGTTTTTCAATAATTGTGCTCTGATTTTGATCATTTCAGTATGCTACAAGAATTAGCTCAGCGGGTTATAATTTATTTTAAGATAGAGTTACTTTCATTCCTAAGATATGAGACTGATTTACTTCTGAGGCTTTGTACACTGCGCCCTTTGTTGCAGACTGAAGATGCACTGACCTGCTGCATATATTTTGATGATGAAAAGCACAGACCAACTTTCTCTGACCTGAGAGCTCTTTTACTAAGTATGCGTGCATGAGAGCCAGCATGTAAATGTATATGATAGTGCTGATGTGTGTGTGTGTGTGTGCGTGTGTGTGTGAAGTATGTTGTAGTATTTATATTCATAAGAAGTCCATCCCAGCTCTCCCTGACCCCCTTTACCTGCCAGGGGAATGCTAAGTTGTGATGGTGTTGAATCGCATATCAATGAGTGTTAGGTGGTAATATCATTTCTACCACCAAAGTGTGGATACTGCCAACACACAGAGGACGTACTGTAAACAGAAGTTAATTTCATTTTTTTCTTTCTTTTAATGTTTATTCTTGTGACTTTAAAGTTGCTACAATCAATATTTTTGTATGAACAATGGATCAAATGACTGTTTGTAATGTTAAAAGTGTCACTCATAGTAATAAACCCACAGAGAATTATTAGACAAATCTCCAGTTTCTCTTAACTCCACTGTTTAAGTTCAGTCTCACAGGTCTCATCAGCAGTGTTTACAGCCACAACAGGCATCTGTTTTCAGCAAAGAAAACCACTGTGCGCTTCCTGTCCAACACCAAACAACAGGGAGTTGTTATTGACTAGATGGTGAAGATAGTGCAACATTTAGCAGCAACGGAAGAGTATGGTTTAAGATAAAGAGCCAGATATTTTTCTCAGGAAACCAAACAAGAGCTAAAAATATATATTGGACTTTAGCCAGATGTTAAAACCACATCTCCAAAGGCTCATGATGCTCCATACCTGGTGGATGTGAGATGGCCAAAAACATCAGTTCTGCAGGTTTAAAGTGAGGCTCCAGATGGAGGCTTTATAAAAAAAACATTACTGATTAAGATGACTTACTTATAAAAGTAAGTAACTGATTTCCCCTATTGAATATCACAAGTTTAGGCAATAACAAATGTATAAATTAAAGTGTACAATTATATTACAGATCTTTAGTTCACCTATGATTATTCTTACAGCCAAAATTCTATTAATCCTAAACATATATGCAAGCGCACATACCAACATGCATGGACACACACCCATACACATACACACACTACTTTCTCTCATTCATGCAGCAAAATCGGGCTGTTGAGTTGAGGTGTGAATTACGCAGATCACTGGAGCAGAAACAAGTAGAGACGGCTTGCCTTGGGATAATTGAATTATTTGTAATAGCACCTCATTAAAAAATAGATTCTGTGTTACAGTTTCAAACAAAAGTAATCAATCAATGAAGGTGATCAAACAAATTTCGACATAATCCAAGTCACTGCCGACCCACACACTTGCTTTTATCAAGGTTGTTTACCCAGCCCTTTAATATTTCTGATAGATTGTGTACTAAATCAAGCAGCTTTTTGTTGACGCTTGTGCTTTTTGAATGAGTGTAGTGATGACAAATACACACTCACAGGGTCAGCTAGTTATTAGGGAGTCTCAGGTTCGAGCCCCAAGACAAGGATCCATGTTGTTGAAGTGTCCTTGAGCAAGACACCCCACTGTTTCCAGGGTTGCTGTTGTGTAGCTGACCATCTGTGATCTGGGGGAGGGGGGGGGCAAGGGAATGGAGAATACCCTTATGGAGATCAGTCAAGTTATCACAGTAAATTGTCCTTGTCTTTTTCCTGCTCAATAACATGCTTACTCCCACATACACGTGTTAAGATCAGTGGATTGAAATCTTTCATCTTCTCCTCAGGCCGTGTGAGTGTGACCCCAGCGGGAGTGTAGATGACTGTTCTCCTCTGGATGGACGTTGTCACTGTAAGCCAAATGTGGAGGGACAGAGCTGTGACAGGTGTGTTATAAGGTTGTTGCTTACATCACATATGTGACCTCTGGTTACCAAGGCAACTGTTAAAGACCACCACAACAGAACAATGGTAGCCATTACCAACAGTTCATCAGTTTATGTACAGGATATAGTATTTTTTGATTGATAATGTTTGATTTTAAAGTGTTCTTTTTTTGGAACTTACGATGTATATTTTATTCTTATTTTTCCCCTTTTGTTAAGCCATATAACATCTGTACATATTATGTTCAAGTATTATGTTCAAGTTCAAGCAAATAGGGTATGAAAAGCAACATAAATATCTATTCCGAAATGTATACATGGATACATATGCATATATACATATACACACATAAATAGAAAAAAGATCATAATAGTAAGTGTCCACTCCGAGATGCAATAAAATATGCAAAAGGGACCATATTAACTCTAGGACTAGACTGTATGTGATATATGTATGGGATGTACACATGGAGGTAATATAAAACCATAAGTAGCAGGGCTGAGCACTGTTGGATAATAAATTATAATAATAATTGTATTAAAAAAAGCCACGACAGGGCTGCACCGGTTAGTTACGATGGATTTTTGGAGCCTTAATGAATATGTAATTTGCTCCATCTCATAAAGACCCCATATTTTTTGGATCTATATATTGTATGTGGGAGGGTCTGGTTCCAGCCATCTCATGGTTATACACTTTAAGGCTGCTGTAAGTACAATATTTAGGAGGTATTTCTTGGCCCCCCCTATTCAAACTTTTAGGTATTACTCCCAGCAGCGACATTGTGGCATCTTGTGGGCGTCAAATAACTCTCTCCAGAATACACTTAGCTTAGGACATAGCCAGAATATATGGGTGTGATGGGCAATATGTGTTCCACAGTTCCTCCAATATGTGCAAGGATATGTAGGGCCCATTTTGGATATTATTTTTGGTGTTCGGAAAAATCTAATTATTTTCCATTTCAGTTCCTTCCATGTGTTTGAATTTGTTACCAAGTGTGCTTCAGTGCACACTTCATTCCAGGTGTCCTGTGATATCACCATGTTCATTTATGCTTCCCATCTCTGCTATCTCTGTAGGGAGTTATGTAGATTCATAGATGAAAGTCTTAATTTTTTTTATCACTCCTAGATTTAATTATAATGTGAAATAACACTAACACTAACAATAAGTACATTACACCCAGCAGACAGGTCAACAAATCCTACAGCAGCAGCAGAAGACTGAAACATAAACACAAGAATAATTTGTCTAAAAATTGCTCTAAGTTTTGAGGCTATCCATCATTTCGACTACTTGGGCAGTGAACATGACTGTTACAACATGTCAATAACCAAGTCTCTGCTTCTCTCTGTCTGTTTCTATCTTATTCCTCTAGGATACAGGATCAAACTGATAAACTCGCTGTGACATTAGCAACACACACAGCCGCAGGTCTGCAGACTATTGAGTAATTCTGTGTTCCCAGTTTCCTGACTTTTTTTTTTCTGATTTTACGGCTTGTTGAGCAGGCCCCTCTCTTGTGTAATGTGACTAGTGTAGTGGCTGATTTTTAGCGGTGTTCCTGTCCCACCCATATGCCAGCTAGTATCTGTAGGTCAGCACTCGGGGTCCTTGCAGCTGAGCCCCATTTGGTCCTTTCTTCCTTAACACTGCAGTCTGCAGCGACCAGCACCCTGTCTGCTGTTCTAAGAGCAACTTAAAATGATTAATAAGAATAACACAGTGACAAGGTTGTGGTAAATAGCTGGGATGAGGCGCATGTGCAGCATGTTAATAACTTTTTATACATGACGTTATGTGTGTGTGTGTGTGTGTGTGTGTGTGTGTGTGTGTGTGTGTGTGTGTGTGTGTGTGTGTGCGCATACAGATGCAAGCCTGGTTTTTTCAACCTACAACAAGTAAACCCTGCAGGCTGCCAACCGTGTTTCTGCTTCGGCCACTCGCTGGCCTGCTCCTCATCCAGTCACTATGCTGCTGTCAACATCACATCGGACTTCATTGAAGGTATTGTCTAAGGCTCATCAGTCACTAATGAGGTTCCCTCGTTACTGTGGGATTGTTATTCCTAAAATTAACAACAATGTTTACTTTGTTCTGAATTTGCTCCCTCTTTTCCTTAAGTACCATATTTTATCGTGCTGGTATTTATTAGTGAGTGTGTATTGTACTGTCTTGTGCATGTTACTAGGTCAGCTTTATTGGATGTGTTGTTTTATTCTATATTTTGGGAGTTATTTTAATATGTGGTCAGGGACAGATAAAAATTTGCCTTTTAGGCAATACCTCATTTACAGTTTCAGTGGCTCTGAGAGCTCAGCACAATGCAAGAATTAAGAAAAGACATGCAAATAGACAAAACACAAAACAAATTAGGAAATCATCTTCACCAATTTTACAACACATGTGCAGCATTTAGACAAAGAAATAAAACACTGGAAAACACACATTCACTTACAATTTAAGTTGATTTCAGATTTTACTCTGATTGCGTGATTCAGATATTGAGGTAATAATATTATTGCAGATAATATGCAGAATACACCTAATATAGCAAGTGTATATAGTATACAGGCCAACATAGTTTGATGTAAAGCCACAACCAGTGTTCTCTTTGTTTGAAACTTTATTTTGTAAGTATTGTTTCTGTGCAACTTGCAGGGTTTCTGAATTTGCTTGTGTTTTCTCTGTTCAGTTGTGTTTTCTGTATTTGCGTGTGTTTCCTATAGTTGCAGTATGTTGAGTTCTCAAGGTCACTGTAAACTGTTTGTTTTTTCTGTTAGTCACACATAAAATAAAACCAATGGAAAAATAATCTGAACACATCTCCCATAAGAATCCAAACGTTAAATTCTTTATGAACGCTTGTATTTACCATTTATATCCAGATTGTCTGTGATGTAGAGAAGAAAAACTATGATTCATTTGTTTACCTCCAGATCAGGATGGTTGGACGGGAGAGTTCTTTGGAGGGAACGAGTTCTCCCTGCAGTGGAAGGAAGGTGAAGTCTACTTGCTGCCTCTTACCGAGGAAGACGTTGGCTTCTACAAAGCCCCTGGTGAGTCAGAATGCAAAATAATAGAGATTTGAGCTCATCCGTGAAGACAGATTATTACCTCAGGTTCCATCAAATGGGTGGGTTACAATCCCCAGGGTAATGTTTTAGTATTGTTGACAGTTATGTTATTAGATAATAAATCCTCCAGTTCTTGCTCTTCTAGCAAATATGTAAATTATATTAACACTAGTAGAGCATCTGTAATAGCCATAGCTTGTTCCTGTTGTTCCTTTGTGAGATTAATCAGGGTCTTTGGCAGCAGGTCATACGGCAGTTATTCTGACACCGTTTCCTGCAATCCGCTATCAGAGCCATTAGAAGATAAGGGAATAAGCTGGCCCAGCTACAGGACTTAGGGCCCATTTCTATCAGCCGCCCTAGCAGCAAAGGCCTGATGGAATTGGATGTCTTGGCCATGCTGGAGAAGCAACAAAGTGAAAATTGGCTTGGTTTCTTCTTGTCTCCACTAAGTCGGTTCCAGCCATCAACTCACAGCCCCTCCAGCCACCATGCAGTCCACAGCCAGAAGCAAAACAGGAGCAATCCCATTAACTCCGCATCCTGGAGGTTTAATGCCCAATACGCACAATCACAGAGAAGGACTCCATTTGGAGGCATCTTTTTTTAGAAAGATGAAATGCTTACAGCGGGATGTGACGAAGCCTGGTGGTCAGGCATAATTTGTAGAATGTTATTATAAATGTGTTGATAAGTCATGCATGTTGAAGTCTGAATGTATGTGTGTGTACACATAATGTGTGCATAAGACGATAATGAATGCTTGCATGCTTTTCCATATATATGTAATTATAAATGTACATAGTTAATAGTGTATTTTTTAAGTTGCTTTCTTCTTCACATGGTCTATAGTGACGTCTCCGTAGGCCACAACACACAGATTAGTGGCCCAACTGGCCAAGAGCAGCTTTGTGGCAGCCTGCTTATCTACTTCGCGCAGTGCTTGTTTATGTTGTTTCTCTACATAATAAATGCGCAAATCTATTGCCTTGCCATCCCTATTAATGATCTCATTTTCTCTCGGCTTTTTTCATAGTGGTGCATGTGTACAGTTACTTTAAAGATTAGACCAGAGTGGCAGCGGCTTTGGAAGCAGCTCTGGAATTCTCTCTCTCTCCCTCTCTCTCTGCTACTGTCTCTGCTCTTTTTACTTTTAATTTGTATTTGTGCAGAAATCCCTCCACTGTGTTCTTCACCAGAGTAGAAGATAATTCTGAGTGACAACTCCACATCGAACATAATACAAATAGCATTTTCTGTGATTCTGTATTTGTCACCGTAGTTTGGATTCAGCTGTCACATGAGGGACAGGATTCAATCATTGGCTTTTTTTTATTGAATTAGTAGAGAGAGAGGAGAGTTTGGGATCTGCATAGCTCATCCAGCTCCAGAAATATGGCACAGAGGGCAAAATGTCACAGCTTTTCTCTCAGTAGTAGGGAGTAATAGGGAGAGTTTGACACAGTGTAAAAGAAAAAGAGGGGTAGAAAGAATTTCCCTTGAATTTCCTGAATTCCCCATGACAATCAGGCCAACATGGCACTTATGTCCGATTGTCAAATGACCAACCCAATCAGGACATCAGAATTGCTCCTTCTTTTTCACTAGATGAAAACGTTTCATTTTTGTAAACATCTTGATTTGTCCTCTCCCCTATTTTTCTTTGACTACTGTGTAAAGTGCCCGAGACATAAACGCATGTAGGCAGACGTGTGAATGTGTATGCGCCAGTGCACTTGGGGACACAGTCTTCCTCTGAAACATGTGCGCTGCCACTTGTCCCCCTACTGATCCTGGACATCTGCTTGACAGTTGACACATGCAGAGTTCAAGTCCCTGTGGTGACTCAACAGACTGAACACTTGAGCGCAGCTGCCAGGAACTATCATAGACAAACATGAAGTACCTCCCTAAACAGTTGCTTTGACCTGCCTCCAACAACTGTGGTCACCACTTGAATCTGCTGGACAGTAACTGTGGCTCTCTTGGCTGAGCAGCTTTCATGCTGAAGGGGACATCATCTAACATAAGTCCTTACAGCCATCTGTTGAGAAGCTTGCAATGTTGATCCTTTTCATATCTGCAGTGCAGGCCAACCTGCTAAGCCTGAAGCGGCAGGGAGACTGAAAGAAACGAGGAAAGAAGGGTAGACAGAAAGAAAGAGGCAGAATTTTAATGAAAGAACCTTCTAGTGGAAGCCAATAGAGCAGCATATGGTTGCTCTTGTGTTCAGTTGAGGAGAGGCAGAGAGAGTAAGAAGAGCAAAGATCCACAAGAGCAGCTCCAGGCTATCTGTCACTCTGATTCAAGCTCCAAATGCAGTTGAGAGCCTCACACAATCTGAGTGCTACTTCCACCCAGGTCTGCATGTAATCCAGTCTGGTGGCCTTGTCATCTAGAAACATAAGCAAAACAGAAAGGAGTTTGTAGTAAAGGGAAATAAGAAAACTGAGTGGAGAAATAGAAAGAGAAAGGAGAGAGAACAATAACAGAGAAAAAAGGGCACAGAGAAAGACGAAGGAAAGGGAAGAAGGTGAAGCAGTGCTCGAGTGAGGCTCGAGTGGGAGAGTTCAGTATGCTTGAAACAAACTCAGTTGTTCGACATGTTGCCTGACCACATTTAAAGGTGAAAGTGTTGATACCCATTCCAAATGGCCACAATCAAAGGCTTGGTGAAAAACCTGCCACTATAGCCTCCTCCATCCTGCATTCCACTGCCTCCTCATCTCTCTCCAAGACCTCTTTTGCTTGTTCTTTTTGTCTTGAGACAGTGAATCTTTCAGGCAGTCTCTTCATTCCCATTCATGATGTTGCACTTGGTTGCACATGCAAAAAATGACAGAAGTTGTGTGAGGAATGAAAAAACAGAGCTTGACAGAGAAATTCAAGCGCTGCCTACATACACTGCCTCTCACCTCCACACACCTCTGATCAGTCACTGTGTGGATGGGAATGTTAGATGTTTCAGAAAGTTGCAAATTGTTAGACACAGTCCCGGCATTTCCAACGTCAGATAGGTGTGATGAGGGGATTTCAGACGCGGTTGGCCTTAAGGCTGCTTAGACTGACAATAGCACAAAACTGTATAGTATTCTTATTCATTTCACACCACAACGCTGGCACACTAGTGCAGAAAATCTTTCCTCATAAGCCTTATGTATCACTCTTCATTTCTCACATATAGCAACTCGCCCACACCAACAAAGCCTTTGCTTTTTTTTTTTTTCCTTTTTTTATGCCATGCTATTTTGGGTCTAAACACCCGCTAATAAAATAACAGTTTGACTCCTTCATTGACCTTTCTGCCACATCTCTTTGACAACTTTTGTGTGGGTTGGGCAAGAACACTCAGAGCTGAGACCAGTCCGCTGTGTGGATCTCTTTTCAGCCATGTCCCTTTTACTTCCCTGCAGAACACCAGATTTGGTTCTTCAAATAGTAAATTGTATTTTCATTATATTCAATTTATGTCTAGATAAATCGTTTCTATTGGATGCAAACATATATTCAGTGTGTGCATTTGTATTGTATATTGCTTTAAAATTCCTCTTGAATACGAATGACATTCTTTCTTTCATGTAATTAGGTTTCAAGTCACGTATATTGTGCTGCTGGCACAGCAGTTTAGTGTTAGACTCAGTATCCTGACAGTGTTGGACCTGTTTAAAAGTTTAGAGTTTGTCCATCCAGCCTTTGCCCTCAGACTGTCTGGATGGTGGTCGATGTAAGAGCCTCAATGGGACCAGTGTTTGCGTAAGGCAACTGTGATTTAATTGAAATTGAGCTGATTTAATTTGGTTGGTCCAAACTCTAAACCCTCTGATTGATTGCAAGCTCCTCCGCCGTTCCCCAAAAGTTATATGGGCATCTATCACTTGTTGTGATGGCGGCTTTATGTGTTCCTGGCTCTAAAGTCAGTGGACTTCAGATCATTCTGACAGACTCATACTGTAGAAACAAAATGGATATAGAGTGGCACAGGTTGAAGCTGTGTTATTTCCATTCTATTTTCATTCTAAGTTGTTGATTGAAATACATTTATTTGGACTAAACCCTGGTTGCAACAATTATTTTTATTAGCAATTCTTTTTTTCTACTAATAGGTTTGTCTATGAGTTCCCACAGCCTTAAATACCTGGTATTCTTTGATCAACAGACCAAAACATTCACAAAGATATTCAGTGTACAATGATACATAACAAAAAAATTACAACAAACCCTCATATTGGAGAAGCTCAAACCAAATGTTTGGTATTTTTGGTTAGATAAATACACTGACATTTTGGGAAATACACTTATTTGCTTTCTTGTTGAGAATTAGATTTGTATGTGCAATATGAAGCTACAGTCAGGAGATGGTTAGCTTTTCTTAGCATTAAGAGAAACAGCTAGCATCTGTCCAAAGGGTTCAAATAAAAAAAATCTTCCTAGCGCCTCTAAAACTGACTAATCAATACATTATATTTTGTCTTTTTAATCTATAGCCTACAAAAAAACATGAATACAAAAACAACTATGTGCTGTTCTTTGGCCAGGACCGGTGACTTTCCCCATAATACCACACCTTATTTTTTTACTTTTGGACAGAGACAAGCTCGCTGTTTCCCCCTACTTCCAGTCTTTAAGCCAAGCTAAACTACTTGTAGTTTTTTCCCCTGTCTCTTTAGACATAAGAGTGATATTCATTTTTCTAATTCAACTCTAAGCAAGCAGCAAAATAAAGCGTATTTCCAAAATTGTCTATTCCTTTAATAAATAACTACATGATTAATATTAACATGAAAATGAATCAACTAATACATTAGTAGCCTAATGGTTGAAGTTCCATAGTGAGTATGACAAAGAAAATGGGAATCAGTCTTGTGAGAAGAGAAATATTTTCACATATGTGCAGCTGTGGTATTTAGAGATTGCTAAACTTTTTAATTCTCTCCAATTTGTCATGTGAGATAAAATAATGAATATAAATCCATGGCAATGCACAGACAGCAGATCACACTTGCACATGAATAATCCTTTCATTGTTTTTTTTATAGTGATTCATTACTTTGGAGAGGGGCCCGCCAGTGGGGCCATTTCTGGATGCTCTATTAGGGTTGTGAGTAATTATACTTTGGTACCTCCATTCTCGCAGACAGAGAAAGAAAGGAACCACGCTGACGCAAATCAGATGCCAGCAGAATAATGGCCAGCAAGCTACGTACATCTGAAACATAACCACTTACAACCATAAGGGAGCACTTTAGGAGAGAATATTAGCTTGGTCACACAATAGCATTACTGGGCTCATTACCCACCGTTATGCAAGAAATGTGCAGTATATATTTCTTATTAATCATTTCAAAAGTAATATCTGTTGACTTTTATTTTGTGTGAACATGAGTTTCTTACATTACTCATTATTATAGCGTGTCACTCCCCAAATATAGGTAATTGCCTCTTCTCTCTTCCCCAAAAATAGTGGCTCTGCTGAGACTGAACTCATTTTTAAACTTAATGCAACAATGATCATCTGCTGGAGGATGCCATTCTGTTGAGTGCAGCTTGAGGATGGTGTGTCTGAGTGACTGACGGAAGAGACTAAATATAGGAGAGGGAAGAGAGCTAGATAGGAGTCATGCTGGCCCAGCTTGGAATTAAGGCTGGTCCTGTCTAATGTTAGGTTTTGGATTAAATGGTACTCGGGCCGAACAATGGGAAATCAGAGACCAACCAGCTCCATTGACGAGAGGAGGCGGACTCTGTGTTTCCATCGATGATGCTTGGTGCTCAAGCGCAGTCTTTTTATGTGAATATGAAACTATTTTATTGTTATTTTATTGCTTGTTGCTGTTGACGTTCCTTCGGGGTCAAATTCAAAATATGCACTTTTTCTATGCACTACTGCACTATTTCCTGTAATAATTAACTGCATATATTGATATATTTAATTAATTTAACTTAATTTGATTATCTTTTTCTATGTAGCATGAATGGAAACATACCTACAAATAGTATAATTAATTTATACCAATAGATCCTCCTAAATGTTACACACTAGATCTACAAATTCAAAGTTTTATAGTCAGTATTTACATCTAGTTTTGTATATTTGCAGCGTATAACAATTAACAATAATACAATTATTTGTGTAGTTATTGTATGCTTCTGTTTATCTTCCACATTTTTATTGTCCTTTAGTTTTCCTTGTTTTAGGTCTTTGTGGACATGTAATCATCTATCGATTTAAGAAAATCTCTGTACTCTGTCAGGCTAACGCTTTTGGATGAATTACAACACAAGTAGTCTATGCTATACTTGTTTGGTTATTGAGGGTTATGTTTGGGTCTAAATTTGAACTGGTGGCTCATCGGACTTAGGAGTGAGCATTGATCGGTTATTTCATTCAGACCTCTCACCCATAAAGGTTGTTTTTCCACTGGTTAAGATGTTTAGATGTGAGAGGGCTCATTCCTGTCTAATTGGTGATGGATTTAATTTAAGCCTCTTTTCTTTCCGTACTGGCTGATTTCTTTTTTTTATTCTCTGTCATCAATATGTATTGATTCTGAAACTACACAGACGTGCGGCAACTCATTTCACTTGAGAAAGTGTTTTGTCTTCACTGGTGATGATTGGTGGTTGTTAAGCCGCTCCCCCTGCTCCTGATTGGCTGTAATTATCTTTTTTCTATTGATTTTGAAGTCCCATTGACATGAATGATGCCTTATTGGACTCAGAACAGAAAGTGCTATTGATTAGTCATGTAATTGAAGCCTTCCCCCTTTCATCACTGCCTAATTTTCATTTCCTACATGCTTCCACGGTTGAATGATAAATATATATGACACAGTGTTGCGCTTCATTCACCCGTGTATCCTTGTGCTGATTTGTAATTATTTAACAGCTAACAGGTATGAATGCAGAAGCATAATGTGTGGCAACATAAAAAGCTGAAAATGCTGCAACACCTCGTCTTTTTGAGTTTGGTTTCTTATTTTTGATAAGCTTCCAACTCATTAGATTTAAAAAAACATTTTAATTTAATGCCCTTAAATTTGAGCTGAAAAAAAAAGCAAGTGTCACTCCTGCTAGAGTTGTAACTAGAAAGATACAGCAAGAATAATAACATAAAAATATAATGTACAATAAACCAAATTAAGCAACTGGCAAAGCAAATAGCATTATTTATTAGACCATGAAATACATGAAATGATGAAAGAAGAAAAAACAGCTTAGACATAATTGAAATAATAATTACACTGCTTTTACTTACAGAAAGTAATAACTTTAACTAATTACTTTAACACATCACTGAGTAATACATCACAACAGCCACTAACCTCAATTCAAGGTGCCAAAAAGTGGGGCCTTACAAAAGTGTTGCAGGTCAGATAAAACATTTATTAATCTGGCCAAAGATGTCACAGTGAGAGTGGGCTTTAGATGTACAGAAGAGCCCGGCAGAGATTATAAAAAGGGGGCTGTTGTTTGAGTACATATTAGACGATCAGACAGTTGAATTGCTCCGAATGACGCCAGAGGCCCCTCGCAAGCAAAATCACCCACTCAAGTCCTTAGCCCTCCCAACCCCCAGAAGAGCTCAGGATGTACTTCACACACGATTACGCTCAAAAACAAGGTGGCAACCAAGCGTGCAACCTGTCAGTTTTGCCCACTCGTTCACCCAGAGCTGGTAGAGAATGGCAGCACAGTTGTTTTTTCAACAAATTGTTATGATATTTTAATTTCTACTGGTGCAAGACTTTTTACAATAGCATTGCTTACATTTTTCATATTCCCATACTGATGGAGTGCAATTTTTGTCTTTTTTTTGTATATCAAAAGTATAACTTTTCGTGTGTATTTTAGGGGTTGGTAGTGAAGCGGGGGGATGTCTAGTGGTGGCTAAGATCTTTGAAGTCCTGTTAATGTGCTGTAATGAGCCAGAGATGAGAGGGTGGGTAATTACACATAGACTCCTGCAGTGCTTTATGTGGGCTCAAAAAGCCTGTATGCCTCTGCCTTGATGTATACACACACACACACACACACAGACTGAAAGAGAAACGAACAGGCAGTATATTTCCGAATGTACACAAACACTAATTCAGCTTCCACCACAACACACGTGCATGCACACAACTCCATCTCTGTGTTTGCAACACTGTTGGCAGAGAGTTGGCAGAGACTTCAATAATAAAGCTCTCCACTCACCTCTCTAACATCCAACCTCTGCTACCCCCACTAGAGAAATTCCTGGGTCACAGAGTCCACAGCTACGGCCAGCTCCTCTCCATCACCTTCACCTCTGAGACTGTTGAGTTGCTCCCTAACCACATCACCCTGCTCCTCCAAGGCTCTGGAATCTCCCTGTCTGCTGACCTTTCACCCCAACCGGTGCTTGACCATGATCCCGGCCTCACACCACGGCACACCTTCATTGTCAGGTACAAGGATGCAGGGGTGGTGCTGTCAGTTTGTGAGTCTGTGCACATTTTTTTTTAATGTTGAACTTGAGTCTCTGTGGAAAATACCAAAGTGTTTGCCAGGATGTGTTCATAAGAATGGATGTTGGGATGTTTGTTTTTCTCTGCATCTATGCATCTCCCTGTTTGACTTGTTCCTTCCTACAATATATAGACCGCAGAGTACAGACTATCCAGGACACCCATGTACTGATTACAGCTCACCCACATTGACTGTGCTGTCATGGTCCCAGCAGAATGTCAGGATATGAATGTATTGATGAGCCAACTCCCTCATGCACTAGCTGTCATGTAGATTTGGCAGGTACAGAGCAGCAGCATTACATTTCCATTTTTACATTTTATACATTTAGCAGATGGTCTCACCCAGAGTTGCTTGAAATGTGTGCAGCAGTGGAATGACACAAAAGTCACCAAAAGTACCAAATATAAGTTATAGTTAGAGGGAGCAGCAGCGAAACTTACACAGAATTTAGTGATTATGAAATATAGATCAACACATTGAAACAAGAGCAGCATGTTAACATGCTCACAATGACGGTGCTGACCTGTTGATGTTTAGCAGGTATAATGTTCACCATTTTAGTTGAGTTTGTTAGGATGCTAATTAGTTAATTAAAAGTACAATTGGGGCTGATGGGTATGTCATTAGTTATCTGTATTTGGTCATTAACTTAATGGTGAAAATCATCCTAAGGGAGACATGAATGTGTGATTCATTCTCTGGAAATATCTGTACCAAATCTCTTCATGGCAATCCATCAGATAGTTGCTGAGATATATCACCAGGACGTGAGACAAAAACAGACTGGAAGGCGAACCCTTCTCCCCATAAAGTTTAGGCAGCCTCTCACTGCAGATTCAGAGCATGCCAAAGCAAGAACTAAAGTTATAGGAGCGCTTGCGACCGTATAAGATTTAAGCATATGGTGCTCGATCCCCGCTACGATGTGCCTTCACATGTGTATTTCAATTCATTTATTCTCTTGTGCCTACCCTGTATCAAAGTTGCAGTTGTTGAGGAATTATCAAGAGATCAGTCTTATGATGGAGCACTACTGACAATTGTGTCCATTCACTTTAGTTCATTTTGTTATTTAATTTTTTCTTTTTGACAATATGCCAGTGTTTGGGTACCTTTAAGAGCCAGTGTGTAACATTTAGGAGGATCTATTGGCAGAAATGGGATATAATATTTATACATATGTATCTATCGTATCCCAGAACGGACAAACAAAACACTGATAAATAGGACCTTTCACAAAATGAAGGACAAAAAAATTTACCAAACCATGACCCCAAAACTTTCTGTGTTCTGTTACACCCAACTATAAGATAGCAGGGATTCTTGTTTGAAAGACGACATTAGACCACAAATATAGGAAAGCTTCTATAATATAATGAGGATATCTGATATTCTGACAGCAGTGGGGAAGTCACTCCACTACCAGGCTTCCTGAGGCAGAGGAGGGGGGTCCGGATGGAAGGATAACCAGGTCATAGCAGGGAAAGGAGAGCCGAGTGGAATATTTGCGACAACATGCAGAGCACTTGGTGGAGTGTAGAGTGGGTACATGGCCTGGAGGTACACTATGTGGGCAGTGGTCCATTTGCAGCCTGATAGGCCAACGCCAGGGCTTTCAATCTGATGCAAGCAGCCACAGCGGAAGAAGTGAAACATTATTGATCTTGATGAGGAAAACTGGGGCATTGAAGGGGATATATTTGGATATTTGGATATAAATACAACATACAAATAGCACACAAACTTTACATAATTATGATAATAGTTTTCAGATTTCCAGAGTTTTTTTGGGGGTAGTGCAGGGTAAAGCTTGCCTGATGTTCCACAGTCGTGATTTTTACCTCATGATGTGATATTGAAGCCTGCCACCTTGGTGACAGTCGACAGGAAACTGACAAACTGACTTATAAGATACTTTTTTTTTGTTGAGGCTATATAAAGTTCTTTCTTTATTATGGTTTATGGTTAAATCTTATGTTATTTTGTATACTTTATTGGCAGCTTAACTTATACATATATGTATGAGGAGTGTAAAAAACTATTTAGCACAGACAATAAAGCACTACATCAATTCTGTATATGGCCAAAAATGTCAGAATTATTACTGAGAAATACGTGAGTGAAAGTAATGAAATATCAGTGCAATATGTGTATAACAAATCCAGGTATTATATTGCAGTTTATATTAAAAAGCTGTACACCTTTATGAAATCCAACAGAACATGCACATGTGGGTAGAGAAAACTGTAGAGGTTTGCTGGTAGGAAGTATTCTTAAAGGGAATTACAGAGTGCGTGTATGTGTGCTCTTCAGGCTGTACAGAGCTCTGCAGAAATATACATGTGCCAGGATTTGGCTCAGTGATATTGTAATTTAATGGCAAAGTTAAGTTTGAATTTAATATTTTGTTCATATTTGTTATTCGTCGGTCTCTGAGTTAAAATGTTTCTGACCTACCGCAGCCCTTTGCTGTTAACAGTTGCGTTTTTAAATGTCTCAGGTATAATGCATATTAATGCCTCCCACACCTACATGCAGAAGCACATTTGTTCGGTAATCAGATCAAATTCATACACCTCCAGTTGCATATGTGCACAATAATACCGATGAATGTATAACTCATAGAGCAATTTCATATGTGTTTTGTTTATTTTATTCATCCGGACGAAGCCTAACAAATCTAAATATTAGATTGACCTTGCAGGTAGATGTATTTTCTATTATAACTCGAGTGCAACAGCACCTGTTTGAATACTGCAGCAATCAGAGGTTGGATATTGTGATAAAGATAGCAGCAATCAAAATCAAGCTGCGACACAGTTCCTGTCACACAGAGCTGATGGTGTTTACATTACTCGTAGCTGGCAGTCTGCTGTTTTTGTTTTCTGCGTGTCTGCTGTTAGATTATATTAAGGTGTGTATGTGTCAGCTGTAATAGTCTGTTTGTGCAGTAGACAGTTGATTAGAATCTCTCATTGGAAACTGAGCCTTAAGCACTGATTGAGTTGTCTTTGCCAGCCTGTTTTTTGTTTTTACTGCATTGTAACCCTGAGTTAATTTGGGTCACTGTCTTAAACCCAAGTCTGTGTTGAGACATTTAAGTTTCTTTTTAGTGTTTTAGTGTAGTTTCTTTATTCCAAGCTAACTGAAGATGCAGTTAAGGTATAAGTTTAAATTTTTTCAAGCTTATCTCAAAATAATACTCACACGCCCATATGTTTATTGAATCTACTTATTGATTAATGTAATTATTTCTCCTGTCCAAGAGATACATTCATAATGCAATTACTATGTATGTGGTTAAAATCCACAGTGTGAAAATACATTCTAAAGGTTAAGCGGAAGCTTATATGTGTGAAATGTCCACTTTTTGTTTCAAGTGGAGGAATAGTAACAAAAGGAAGGATTTTTCACTCATCACTTTAACTGGAATGATGCAATCTCCTCACAGACAGGAGAGTGTGGAGAAACAATTACAGCCACTAATAACTCTTTCAGTATACATATGGGAATGTGAGTACTGTTTAAAGACAGGCTTGGAAAAATGTGAACCTATCCTGAGCTATTGTCTCCGGCCCAGCAACAAAATCAGCCTTTTCTTTTAAGATGTTAATAGTGTCTGTCTCGTGCCAAAAAGGCAAGTTCCCTCTTAAAGGAAACTGCCTTCTCTCATCTCCTATGATCCTGCGTGTGATCCAGTCCAATTTGTTGCTGATATTGATCCTCAACTATTTGTAGGACTGTGCCGCAGTGCCACTTTCTCTGTTGGAAATCCTGTACCGGCTCTTTCATCTCACATTAGACTTCTGCTTGGTTCTCCTTGTCCCAATTTGCTCTCTACCAAGACTCCTGCGGCCCTTTTTCCTTCTTGCCCTTCACGGTAAAGTGGTCAATCCGGAGGCGGCAGTGACTGGAGGAGGCAGACTGGGGCTGAAGAGGTGAACCCTGGTGTGACGATCGGTGGGGAAGCGGCAGTGTAATCATTCAAATTGTTGTGGCGAGATCTCATCAGGCCCGTCAACCTGGGAGAGTGGGTGCAGCTAGCCTGGTCTCCACATTGAACCCATTGAAAAACAGGCTTAAGTCATTCACTCTATTTTTGTTCTCTTCCCCCACTTGGCCTGGCGTCTTGTAGCCAGTAATCCTTCTCATCCCACTCAGCACCTCCTTCACACTGTTTTGTTGCAATTTGTCTTCAGTTCTGCCCCTGTGTTTCTATCTTTAATTCTCCTCCTCAGCACCCGCAGAGCAACTGAACTTCCTCCCTGTAGCCCAGCCTGGAAGCCCTCTTCCTCCCTAAGAAGGGATTTTAACTTTCTTTGTTTTCCAGGGTTTATTTAAAATGAACCACAAAAAACAGCAAACTGTTTAATGGAATTCAAGGGTCCACATGGAAATTGACATGTTACGCAGCCGGGGAGCCTTGCATTATCTCCTCTGTGTGCTCCACAGGGTATGTTCCAGTCCATTAGCTCAAAACAGTCCGGTAGAGCCTCCACATACTTCTGGGATCACACCCTTGCAGTCTTGATAACAATGGACAGCTGGCTGTTGGCTGCTGCTGATTTGTTTCATTTTGAAGAGGTACAGTAGGTTACAGCATTCTAGTAAGTAAGTTGTGCTTTGCTAGGGGGGAGGGGTGCTGCACTGGTTCAGTTGGGAGATAATTAAAGCATAAGCAAGGATCTGGCTAGAATCCTCTGTGAGGAAAAGTCGGCTTGATGGATGTTGTAAAGTGTAAACCTTCAGGATCAGGTTATGGTTGCAATGACGGGCTCAGAGAGTAGTTGGTTGTCTAGAATCAAGCTACAATTGTAGGCAGTATGGGCAGGAGTCAATATACTTGCACTACTCTCTGCGGTGGTGGAAAAGAGAATTTGACAAAGGACAGGTCAGTCTTGTTGAAATTGGTTTTAGAGTGGTAGGCAAAAGAAAA